TCTCTCTCTCTCTCTCTCTCTCTCTCTCTCTCTCTCTCTCTCTCTCTCTCTCTCTCTCTCTCTCTCTCTCTCTGTGTGTGTGTGTGTGTGTGAATTGGCTTGGGATCACCGACAAGGAATCAGGGAAAGTAAGCAGGCAGGCAAAGGAGCACAGTCTATCAAATGAAGAGCTCTGAAAGATTACAGCTTTTCAAGTCAATATGGGCCAAGAGGGACAGAAAAATCAAACAAGGCGTACCTGGCAATCATTCCTTCTCAGTAGTGAACAACCAGTGCTGTCCAGGACTTCCTTCAGCCATAACAGAAGGAAGTGTCTGTGTCTATAGATTGTGATTTCGTACACTTGCCACTGTGCCAGTGGTAAAGGAACCGAACTCGATGCTCCCCAGAACAGGAAGGGGCCAAGATCATAAGGCCCTTTTTTATTGTTTTTTTAATTTGGACCATTTATCGATTTATGCATGTCATGCTTGTGCAGGGGCCATGCTAATCTTCTCTGTATCGTTCAAATTTTACGGATGTCCCGAAGGACATAAGGCCCTGTTTTCTATTTTCGGAAAAGAGAAGAAAAGAAAAGAGGACTTTCTTTCTGTAAGTTTCTGATAGTTCAATTGCCTTTACCATTCTTTTATGTACCGTTCAAAAAAACTTTGTATATTTAAGACAGTGTTCGTATTTTTAAGATGAATATTCCTTGGGTTGAGTTCAGCAGACATTGACCTCTGTAGCTTACTGATAGTTTTTTTTTTTTTTCAAACCAACGGAACCTTAGGGTTCTGGCTCCTTTTCAGTCCGGTTCCTATTCCACCGGCAAGTCAGAAAGTATTACAATAAGCACTCGCACACGCTCCTCCCCCTTATGGTGTGGAGGCCCGAAGGACGGCATTGATTACTTCCTGAAGGAAGGATGTACCACCCTTCACCCCTGCCTGAGTTAGCCTACTCTAATTAACTGCTACTCTTGAAAGCTAGTCTGATTGCCCTATCTTTCGATTACTTGTAGCTTGCCTCCTTGAGTCCCAACCTGCCTGTTCCTCTCAGCTCCTTGACTGTCAGATTTACTTTACTTGCTGGAACTGCCGGTTGGGCATCTCTCCATGGTCCTGCTAAAACCCTAAACCCTGTCTGACTTCATTGCTATCCACTTTGCTAGAGCCCTAACCTGTAGCTAACTTTCCCTCTCCCTCTTTGGGTAATTACTGTTACTCCTGCTAAAAATTTTGAACTCTATCGACCTTGGGTCTAAATATGGGCTAAAACCCTGAACCCTATTGATCCTTTTCTTAGGTCGTATCACTATCAGGTGGTCTACGATGCTTGAACTGGACTAGACAGCCTCTCTGTAGTGGCTTTACTCGAACCCTTTACCCTGTCTGAACCATTTCTACTACTTGTCGGTGGTCCTTGGCCCTGCCTACTTGTAGTGCTGTGACTTGATTAGTATACTAGCCTGTGTCCTTGTGGTGTGTTCGGCCCGACTATCGCCCTTTTCTACGAGGATTCCGTATGGATGTGTGAGGATTCGGGGACGCTAATGAGTGACTGTGAATCTGCTTGAGGTGCATTTGGGCTTCCTTCCCGTAGTGTGAAGACTAGGCTATGGCCTTTGATCGTTGCAATCTTACCTCTTGCCAGGTAGTTGTTCTCGGAGTTTTTTTTTGTGTGTTCCTTTGCTTTGGACTGATAGTTGTCTGTTGATTTTTTTATTTTTTTTTTCTGATTTTTCATTCCTGCAGTTGTCCAACCTTCCGGAGTACACAACAGGAGGAACTATACATTTGATCATCAACAACCAGATTGGTTTCACAACAGACCCAAAGCTAGCCAGATCTTCTCCGCATCCAAGCGATGTGGCCAAGGTGGGTGGAGTACGCTGAACATGAGGGAGTTTGTGTCTGGAGTCTGGACTGTCATTGAGCCAAGTCTGCCTTCCTCAGTGTGAATGCAATGTTTGCAGCCCGTCAGGGTTGCGTTTTTCCCCATTGAGCCAAGTCTGCCCTCCTAGGTGACTCGTACCGCAAGGGTTGGGCTGACTCTTTTCGCCCCCCAGAATAGAAGGGGCTTGGGCGATTCCAAAAAAAAAAAAAAAAAAAAAAAAAAAAAAAAGGGGGCAAGAATTTCTGTGAATTGTGAAGTTCTATGGAGTCTAATGATTCCATGCTTCTATCTTTACTCTCAGTGACTGGGCAAACGATTCAAGTTGACTAAACAAGTTTACCGTTAAGTGAGTTGTGCCTTTGTGAAAAAAAAAAGACATTGATGAAAAAAAAAAGAGTGTATCATTTCGGAACTGAACTATTTTGATTTACCTTTTTGTGGACTTGATTGCATTTCATACTGCCTTGGACAGGGTGTTGGAGCTCCAATTTTTCATGTGAATGGCGATGATCCACAGGCGGTTTGTCAGGCTTGTGAGCTTGCTGTGGAGTACAGGCAGGTGCGTGTATGGGAACATGAACCCAAGGATGACAAAAGAGCTGGAAATACAGGTTCTCTATTATGTTATTCCTTCTGACACAGTGGAGGAACACTCGGTTTGAGGCTACCATTCCTGGAACAGGTTTCCACAGAGGGTGCTCTCCTTCTCGGTTGTTTTTGTGTTGCAACATGGTGTGTGTGTGTGTGTGTGTGTGTGTGTGTGTGTGTGTGTGTCCTACCATATGCCATAGCAGATACGTTTTGCTGCCCCACTGTTTCCTATTCGTGGTACATACGGCCCAGGCATGATCATGTCTACCTCTGCTCAAAAAATTGAATTGGACTGGAAGTAGTCAGAGGGGGAACCATCGAACGTAAATGCCATAGGTGGATTCCCAACTACCCCTAATTGCTACAACGCGCTGGCCACAGAGAACACCTTCTCTGAATTCTTGGCCCTGCAATACTCTCATCAACACAATGATGCAATGGACACTGATGCCACAGCAGGAACACCACACACAGTCCCACAATCAAGTGAGCAATCAAACGAGTGGCCCAGCTCATACCTGCGCGGCGACACGGTCAACTTGGCCCTAAGTGAGGATGAACCACCAAAGTTCAGCAACATCGAGGACCAAGAAACAGAGGAAACGAAAATAATCTCCTTGACAAACAATCTGCTCAAGCAAAAGAACAACCTGAAAAAGGAAAAAGAAAGACAAATCGCCATTTTCGAGAGAAACCAATTATCTGCAGGAACAGAACTTGGAACTAGGAGCAGAGTCCCCGGGATTTGACAATGGCTGCCACACTTGATGCACGCACCCTCTCCCCCACGATCCCATTCATGCCCTTCCGCCACAACTCTAACAAAAAGGAATGGCAGATTTGCAGTCCGGCCTTCTCTGAGCATCATCACAGCACAGGACTCACACAAACGTCCCAACTTCGCGAGGGCAAACATCTCAGACGATTGCCCTTTGGCCATGAAAGTGATAGAGCAGGACAGCCTGGACGTGTTCTGGGAGGACGATAGCGGGGAAAGGCATTACAGCGATTTGAAACCAGTTCTGGTCCTATATGATCAGCACGCTCAACTGAGGGAGGGTCTGACATGGAAATCTTGGGAGATGATCTGCGAGATCCCCTACTTTTTGCTGGGCCACACGGACGAAGTCGACAGAATCGCCTTCAACACAGCGGCCTTCATGAGAGGAGAATGGCTGGGCAAGGATGAGGAAGAGACTCTGGAGAAGCTGAAAAAGGACAAGGAGATGAGGGGAACGAAGAAGAAAGAGGAGGAGATGGTAGGGAAGAAGACCTCCCAACCCTCTACCCGAGTCAAGCATCAGTCCCACATCAGGGCTAACCGTTTCAAACCCTAATGGAAGAACATTCAAACGGCCAACCTGATAGTGGGACAGACAATAACGCAAAAAGATTCAGACCCACTACCAAAGCAGATATCCTAAAGGATATCAGAAAATGACCTGAAATAACCTGCGTGTCATGGAACATCAACGGTCTGGCCTCCATTTTAGACAACTCAATCAAATGGAGGAATCTCACTGAAACCATAGGTTGGTTTGGTTTGAACCCCCCCCCAGGCATAACATGCCTTCAAGAAACACACCTATCCAATAGTGGTGAACACAACAAACGACAATTAGCCCTCATTAGGAAACTAATGTCAAAATGGCCTTCTGGGCCAAAGCAGCAGATAACGGCTCAGCAGGTATGGTCATCCTCCTCCATAAAAAATCGTTAGTCTGCGAAGCAATAGAAATACAGAATGTCAACCAAGACAATACCTCAGGCAGATGGATCAAATTAGACATCGAATTCAAAGAAGAAGAGATGTCCATCATAGGCATTTACGGCCCGAACACACCACAAGACAAAACCCCCTTCCTACTCACCATTGAACAACTCATCCCAACACTCGCACCCACCATCATCATGGGGGATTGGAACTCAGTCCAGATCCCCAATCTAAACACCCTCACCCCAATCCAACAGCGCTGACCTAAACGACTTTATGACCAGGAAAAACCTATTAGTCCCTTACCGCCTCCTATATCCAAAAAACAAGAGATACTCCTGGGTCGAACATCCTTCTGCATAATCACTATCAAGAGCCATACAGGACTGTATCATTCATGATAACCCATATCATAAGGGACTGGACCACAAAGCCATATCTCTTGCCATCAAACTCACTAAGGAGGGTTTCATAGGTAAGAGTTTCTACCGCTTCAACAATGCCCTCCTCACCGGCCAAGCCTTCCAATCCGAGCTCCAGACACTATTAACCTCACAAGCACAACTACATCCCAAGGAGGATATACACACTAAATTCCCCCAAATTATCAACAACATTAGTGTGATGACCCGTCCAAACATGGACTGAACACACGGCTGATTTATGAGTTTTTCCCATAGACTGAATGCCTTGCTGAGTTTCCCGCCTGCTACTAAGTCTGTGTGTGCACACTTGCTGGACTGCATGTCTGTCTGAGTGCTGGTTGGCTTGAGTGTGTGTATGGCCGTGCCTGTCTGAGTGCTTGTTGGCTTGAGTGTGTGTGTGGCCCGCAAGGGCACTTGCTCGTTCATTGGGCCCTCGGGCCCGATACTTACCTGTGGCCGTGACATTGAGGGATTGCAGCGGGAAAAACACTCAAGTAGCGGGTAGGCCGGTACTGCACCTTGAAGAGGTAGATGTGCGGGTACTGTAGGCCAAGCAGAAGAAGACAAAAGTGGCATTTTTAGAGGCCCAGTAGTTGTAGGATAGGTCTAGGCGGGTACCAGTCCAACCAGTCTGGGTCTAGGGCCTGTACGGKCAATATCAGAGTTTGCAATGATGTTTCCCTCCGAAAGGGAGGAGGTACCGGTTGCTTGGAAGGCCGAGCGGCCTGGAAGTCACCGCCCGAAGAGGCAAGCAGGCCACTATATCTCCCAGCCGGGCGAAGAGCCCGGCCTCATTCTCGGTGTGCAAGTTTGGTAACACACTGGTTGGAGCGCCGGTTGGAGCAGCGCTATCCAGGAGCAGCGCTGCTGGGGGAAGGAGAAGGACACGGAGGAGGAAGAAGGACAGAAAGGGGGAGGAGCGCCAGGGGTACTTACTTGGCTATGGTGGCAGCCATCTTCGTCACCTTGGTGGGCGCTGCAGTAGGGAGTCCCCAACTGGGGAGAGCTACACCAAGAAGCTTTGAGGCAGGGTCAGGCATGGCAGCCTGAGCTAGAGCAGTCATAGCTGTTTTGGGTTGTCCTTTGGGCATCTGGGCAAGGCCTAGTAGTCCGCCATAGCCTCGGCCTATGATGATGAAGGAAGGGAGAGGCGGCCATGGCTATGGTGGACCTCAAGTGATGCCGGCAGTAGACGAGGAACTCGGACATTGATTCTGGATCAGCCATTCAACATTGTATTATTATTTCTTGTATGAATAAGAGAAGGGGGGGATAAGGAGGAGGACATTGTTGGGTGAAGAAGAAGAGCCTTGTCATTTGTCTATGCTGGTGTACATCATCTTCTTCTTCTTTCCGACTTCTTCTTCTTCGTCTAATCCTCTCTCTCTCCTCTCAAGTTCATTCATTTCTTTCTGCAATTGGACGACATTGTACTATCTGATGGATGTGTATCTCGAAATTGGCCAGGATCATAACACTGGTATCGGAGTGGATTCTACTTGCTGGTGAGAGTTGACTTTGCTGCCCTTACCCTAACCTAAGTGGTTGAGGGCAACACTTAGGGTTAGGGTTGGTTGGTTAAGGGAAGTGGGGCAGCGTGGCTAAGGGAAGCTGCCCCCACCTGGTTAGGTCATGTGGGGTCGACACTGAACCTAACCAGGTTGCTTGAGAGTGAGATTAGGGTGGCGAGACATTTCGAGGCGACTTCATGCGGCAATTTGAGAGAGGCGACAGTGAGAGGCACTTGCACTTGGAATCTGATTCAAGGGAGACACTTGGCAACTTAAGGGCTGCCCTCAAGTAGGCGAGCTTGAGGGTCAGCGGCCACTCAGCATCTACGGATTGCAAGTTGCGACTTTGTTCTTCAGCATCGACGGGGGATCCGGCATTACACTTTGGTGTTTGAGTCAGACCCTCCTAAGAGATAGGACACTAGTGTAGGGGTAGCGTTAGAGGGGTCAGGAGGATCACATGAGAGGGGGGTGAGTTCTATTCATCTCGAAGCTCAAGGCCACTCAGGTAAGTGTCGTGCACCTACGGGATGCCCATGTATGTGTGCATGGTATGGATTGTCCTGCTGGGGTGACTCTGGGTTTCTTTTCCTACTCCTCTGTGGTCTTGATTGTGTCATTGAATGTGTGTGATCTACCTACTCACCGGATGGATGGAAAATGAAGTATCTTGATCCGAATGCCGAGTCTCTCTACATTGCTTTGTCTTTTCATCTCTGAACGGTTGTAGTCTGTAGGTTCTGCCGGAAGTTGAAATTTCGTTTTTCGGTGTGGTAGAAACTGAACTGAGTCCATGTGGAACTCCTCTTGGTTGGGACCTGGTCGCGGCCTACGTGGGACCTATGGGACCCAGTGGGACCAGGCCCAAACAAGAAGAGCCCTTTGGACCCAAATTTGTTTGGCATTAGTCCATTGTCTTCCTGACTGAGATCCGGAGTTTTATTCTTGTTGGTTAGGACGCCCATTGCCGAGGGGATCTCGACTGAGACGTTTCGCATGCTTTTGGCTGCACCGTCCGTGGCTTGACTCGCACCCTGTACACCACTCAATTCTCCATTGTTGCATTTAGCCACTCGTTGTCTGATTTGTTGCACGGTCACGGAGCTGGTCAGACTGGACTCGAGAGGACCTCGTATGCAGTCTGATCAGACTGGGTTGCTGGATCAGACCTCTCATGAGAATTTGTTTGCGTTTCTTTGGTTTGCTGCTCTCTAAATCCAAATGAAATGCCGCTCCGGCTAGGAGTTCTACCTTCTCTTCTTTGAGCTTGTCAGTCTGTTTCTCTGAGTTCATTTCCGATGCCCGTGGAGACTCGCAA